TTAGAATTTCCTGTCATCCCCTAGAAATTGAAAATGGTAGAACATTGGGTATTCCACGTAACCAAAGATTATGTTCATTTGGTTGCAGGGTCACAGAGGACGAATATCATTTTACTATGGTTTGTCCAAAATATGAAGCACTTAGACAAAAATTCTTACCAAAATATTATTTTTCACCACCAACCAAGATGAAATTCATTGCATTGCTACAGAGTACTAACTCGTTTATTTTACTAAGTTTGGGTAAATATTTGTTTAAGAGTTTTCATTACAGAGAAACTGAAATGGAAGTATGATTTGAAGTATATGTATCTTGTAATTTTATAGCGACCGTGTGTAATTTAAGTTTTGAAATGTAACAGTACTTTAGGCCGGTGGCCATATAGTGCGGAATAAAGAAATAATAATATATCGGATTAGGTAGAATAATATCGGCAAAACACATATCTAAGAATACAGTGGATGACACATTACACTTGTTGGTGTTTTGGGGGACAATTTTGAACAAATCTGTCCAGGATTGCCCGAAAATTGGTGTCGGGAGGACGGACACGCGGGACCAACGGGACCGTATGACTACAGACTAACCTAGGTGTTCGTAATCTAAAGTGTTATGTGAATTATATTCTATTTTTACTTCACACTGGAATTAAACATTAGGTATCCCCTTGTACTAATGACCATTTCTCAGATACCACCCCAGAAAAGTAGCCCCTATAAAGGTCCCTCTGAAAGCACCTTCAGTAGTTATATGCATTTTCACAACTCTGTGAGTGGTTCGCTCATGTTTCAGTGGTACCCCTCACTTTTCTGGTGACGATCTGGTTGACTACCATGATGTTATCTGTTATACTTTGATTACATCATCTAAGTAGTGGGGCTGAGCATATGTAAAAAAAGACTGTTACTGCCAACGCGATACTGCGCCCTCTACCGATATCGAACACACGGTATAGCCCGAGCAGGTAGGTTTTCTTCGGTTATGTCCTATGCTCACCAGATCCAAAAAAGTACAAAACACACTTACATGACCTAAGGTTCTTCCCAGGTGAAATGCAGTCCATTTATTTACCAAGACACACACAAAACAGATTAAAATAGCTGCCATGACATTCAATATAAATTACCTCTTAAAAGTAAAACTAAAATGTAAGACAGTCCGAATTAAAATTCGACATCCCCCAAAAGCCGGCATAGAATGTGCAAAATCGAAAATTCTCGATCGGCTAATGGAACTAACATTACTAGGGACACAAATTGAAATAACTGATAAATCAACAACAACAACAACAACAACAACAAGAAAATGAAAACGAAAAATAAAAATAATATTTACAACCAAATTAAATTGAAAAAATGCGATGTGGCTGAGATTGGCCTACACTGAAACCTCTGCCTCACAATATTCCTTATCACTTTCTCATTTTTTATCACCACGAATATACTTTTTTCAACAAATCGCGTTCTCTGGCACCAATGAAACCCACAAAAGTAAGGTCATTCAGTTTGTGGCGTAAATATGAAGTGAATCAGTGTGTTTTGATTCTCATTTGTTCGTCATTCAGTTGCGGTTAAATAGTGGAGAACGAGTGGAATTGTGGGAAGCAATGTTGATATGGACATGCCAGACTATGACATAAACAGTGAGTACTCGACAGGGTCATTTTTTTTCTAATAATACCACCTATGCCAGTGTGACGTCACGGTGTTTTATTGAACGACTGTGAATGGTGATGATATTTATTATTTAATTTCAGTTTGTTTGAATGTGGGTCATATAAACCATTGGTCACAAAATGTGTAAAATCACCTTGCTTTCAAGTTTTACATTACCGACTATACGCCTAGTGTAACCGTTAGTGTGAGAATTTACATCATCCCGGGCTGACCGCGCCAAACTGAATGGGAAATCGCATGACTCTAAGAAAGGAAAGGCACGCGTATGACTGGCATTACTGGCACTGACCATCCATATCTCCATCATAGAGTCGTTTTTCCACACATGCGACAAACCTCTGGGAAATACACTTACAATAAATGTAGGTCACGTCGTCTTTGCGGGTAGTAAGTTGTGGATAGATTACAACGGTGATTACCAATTCCCATGGCTAACATTTTGAGTAAAGTATAAGAACAGAATCGCATTCCAAGTTCCAATTAAATAAACTAATCACTATAATTTTATTTGCGATTATGACTTATATTCATCGTCTCGGGAAAGCGCGTGGACATTCTGACACTGTCCAATCACCGACAATATCGCCGCGGGGCATTCGTCGACATTGATATCTTTATAAACATGGTAATGAGCGCCCCCTAGTGGTTAAACCCCGGAGGTTAAGAGATGCCATGGATAGCAGAGAATAGAGATAGACAAAAATAACTGAAATCCATTCTGAAATCCAGGAAATATCATCTGGATACCGCCCGCTATTCGCCTATATGTAGTATTAAGTATACACTAACACCTTATATTGAATTCAACCTAGCATAAAAATTTTTAAATAAAACGAAAAAAACACCCATAGATATCATCGAGATGGAGATTTAAACGAGAATCATAAACGACCACGCAGTCAATAATGCATGTCTTCTCAATTGTTCGTAACCGTGATTTGTGTGTTTGGTTTCACGGCGAGCAGGCAAACGCCGAGGGCAGTCAACCATGAAATGGACCATTAATTACATACGAGTGATAGCATGTTGAGTCTACAATCTACGCTTAAACTTCGACATAATGATCCGATTATTTATATCCCTTCCTTCGTCTCTGACCTCTTGTAAAAAAAGATACTGTTTATACACTCCCCTGTCGCTGCCCTTTATGTCACGTCTGCTGCTATAGACTACTGGTAATGCTGTTTCTTGATAGAGCTCTATGTTTTGTTGCGGTTACATGGCGCGAGATTAGCTCAGAACGGAAGCTGGGTTCGCGATGAAACAAGACAACACGAAAATGGCGGGCTCGCGGTCTAGGTCTTCAGTTGTTTTCATTCGCAGATATTTGGCCAAGGTGACCTACAAATGGTGACGCCTGAATCAACCGTTTCATGACACACCCCGTGTATGTGTTTGAACAGTAAGTATAAATTATAGTACTGAACCGATATCACCCACGATAATAATTGGTTCGACTGACAGATTCGTCGATGTTTTATCAATAACTTCGTACATACAAATGTACATATTTCGGATATCTGACCCCAAACGTGACCGCGAGGTCGAAGTTCTTGCGACGGTAAAGTTTAACAAGGGTGGTGCTGACGTAAGTTTGATTATAAATGACCGTTTTGTCTGTAGCAGAAGGTGCTACAACAAACGACGCTTATCCCCGTGCTTCGTTCCACAGCGCTTTTAAAGGAATTCGCGTTCACAAGTCGCCCGGAAACTATTCCGAGTAAGGAGTTAGTCAAATCATTTGACAGTGACTTTATCACCATGGTTTACAATGTATATGACGGTGGTACGGAGGAAGAGAAACCGAAAAATGGATGTTTCGTGACAAAAACTGCAGGTATTTTGATCTTCGTCGTCGTAGTTCTCATTCTGATCGGCGCGGTTCTTATGGCGTACTACATCCCGCAGTCGTCGTGCGACGACGGCGAGACGGAAGACGGAGTGCCGATGCCGGACGCCACCGTCACGGAAGAACCTAGCATTGAGTTCGACGGTCTGTTGCCAGACACGCTAGTGCCTTATCACTATCGCGTTAAATTAAAACCGTACTTGGACGAAGAACTGGATGGGGAAGATTGGAAGAAGCTCGATGGTGAGACATCCATCTACATATCGTGTATAAAAAACACCAACGAGATAAAAGTTCACCACCGATTGATGACAATATCAACATACGAGGTGAGAGACGAAGACGGAAATGAAATCGCTGTTACTAGTACAGAAATAGATAATATGTATGCCTGGTTTATAATGTACACGAGCGAGGACTTGTTAGCGGGTAGAAATTACTCTCTCCATTTCGTGTACCAGGGAACCGTCGACCAAGCAGATATAAGAGGGTTTTACTATAGCAGTTATATGGAAAATGATATCGAAACGTAAGTAGTGTACATGTATATGTTTACTATGATTAAAAAATATAACCAGACTCACTCTGATGATCCTAGATTACTTTGGCAAGGGCATTAGGGAATTCTTCGGAGATGTTCGTGGAGAACATTACACATCGTATACACATTTTTCACCCGAAAAAAAAGTAATAATTATTTAATCACTTAAACAAAACGTTAAAACGTTGAACGTGCCGTCTCAGAAATGCCACCAAAATAAACGATGCTGTGAAACTGCGCAATATAAATCTTGGGTGTCCGCCGCCGCTTGGTCTAGATAGCGCCGATAATCATCGAATGGCCGTTCTGGTCCGTCGGAGTAGAAACATAGTTTTCCAATACATACACCGCCACAGTGCGAGGCCGTGTCATCGTCGAAAAAAAAAATAGAAGCCGAATACTGTTGATTGACAATCGAGCCTGTATAAACACACTTGGCCGACCGGATTTGTCACGGTGAACAAAAATTCCATCAATTATTCCCTCGATTAGACTTTATTTGTTCTTGCGAAAGTGCCGACTCTTTAATCGTGTTAGGCAGCGTGAAATTGAAAAGGGATGAATCGGCGCACGGCAAATGCGTTGTTTTATTACAGCTTTCGTATCCTATTACGTTCGCTTGCTTAGTTGTGATATCAACGTGTACGATCTGTTAACATGGTGTCGTTTGATAAACGAAGTGTTTTACTATACATGTTATTTTATGCGCAGGGATCCACTTTGCCCGTTGTGCGGCAGTCCTTGGAGGCCGCTTTTAAACAAAATATCGGTTACAACTGATACATCTCAAGAATCTGCCTATATATTTTCATGTCTTGAGAAATTAATATGTTTGCTATTTTTAGCTGACTATTGGTATGCCCCAATCATTTTGCTTGATCTACTGTCGTATGATACGGAATGCTCTTTTGGCCAGGTTTAACATATCGTTGGTTCGTCCCTACACCAACGACCTTGGTAACAGTGTATAATGCAATAGGGATACGACACGTCTCAGAATCAAGTGAAAACCAAATGGTACTTAAAGATTAACACGTGGAAGAATGTATTCTAGGGGAGAATTTGATAACAGACTTGCATAAAAGTCATATATAACGTGTTTCATAGATGCACCTCGTTATGCCATGGACACCAGCCGGCTCCAGTCGTTGATGTAATGACTATGTGGACGGATGAGGGTGCATGGGTGTCTGAGTAATAATCAACCCGGTTGATACGACAACGTATATAACCCAAACTAGATATTTCAGTACCAGTCTCCATTGTCGTGTATATCAGCTGATTGACAGTAGTCTTCAGTCGAACAGTAGTCTTCAGTCGAGGTTGTTGTGGAGATACTCAGCAGCAAGTTAAAGGGTATCATTTGTACCAAAAAGTGCTGAATTAGTACGGGCTATATAATTAGATTACAATCGATGAAAAGTTAAACATTTTTTTTTCGGGTTGCAAAGATAAAGAATCCCAAAATGGTCGCTCCACTGACGAGTACCTACATATGCACATCGCATGCGGGTTAATGCGCCTAGTTAGAATACTCTCTATGTTTTCATTAATTGCCTAACCCTTATTTAGAAAGCACAATTCCGGTAATATAAAAATAAAAACTGTATTCTATTTGAACCAAAATTCAGGTAAACTTCCATCATTATGGACTGTATTTTCAGATTCAATGAGAAGTAACTTAAAGAGTGTACCTGATTGGATAATCAACCCCAACACGTAACAGTCAGACCAATCAGAGAGCAGATAATATTTTCATTTTGAGATCACTAATTTCTAAATATGTCTACAGTTAGTTTGAAAAGTCGGGAAATCACCTAAGCTATTTTTATGCTTTATACACTTCCGTCCCTAAAGCATTTTATTCGGTGTGGCGAGAAGGCCCTACTTTTTAAACTTCTGAAATTGGGCTTCGGTATTATATGTTATGAAGTTGTTAAATTAATCTACAGAAATGTAATTTTGGTCGCAACTTTTGAACATTGTAAAAACACAAAATTGGATCATTAGCACGGTTTTGTTAAAAATATCTTACAAGTGATTCAGCTTACTAATTGGAAATTGCCGGTTATTAATCATTTAAATGAATTAGTCTAAGAAAACCTGAACAAATGTGTCAGGATAAATGGCCAAAAACCATTAACAGGGAATAGGGCAATAAATTACGTTGGAAGTATACATTATTTAAACTAACTCTTTTAAACATTATTTGGATAAAACTAAAAAAAAAAATAGAGAATGGAATTAACAAAATGACATTAAGAGGGATGTTCGATTTTTTAACCTGTGTAACTGCAATAAGAATAGGCATCACATTCATTACCGTGACAATTTCACTGTAATTACCAACCAAGTCATTTCTAGGTCCAGGGAAAATTTCTGCAGTGCTTTGTTTCTTCAAATTATGCCCCAACCTTCAATGCTTAGGCAATGTTATCCTATCCTATTCTATCCTATCCTATCCTGTCCTATTCTATCCTATCCTATCCCATCCCATCCCACCCTATCCTATCCGATAAGTCAAATTCGACTATTGTTCTCAGTGTTCTCCATCTCCCTCTCTCTGTCAGACGTCACTATGTTCGTAGGGTTACATACATCGCAGTCACGTACATACAGGATAAAGATTATACAAACACTTTACGGCACGTGTAATCCGAGATCATAGGATGATTTGTATTATCTTTTCACAAAGTTAATGGACTTTTAACACAATTCTACTTTTTGGCGACCTACGCAATCGACGTTCCGGTATGCGAAACGAGGACATTTCAAGCATTTGTCTGATCGTAATACTGATACATTTTAGATTTACGTTAACGTTACAGTTAATCCGGTCTCAATTTTGTAGATAAGGTCGCTAATACACCGGCTGTTGCGTGTTCTTTATGGTTAAGTTAATTACAGTAGTCTAAGCCGATATAGCGCACACGACTGGCCGTGAAAATGTCTTGAAACTGAACACTGTAGATATCCTCAATTCGAGTTATCTTTGTTATACTGCAAAGGCACAAACAAACACGTTTGCGTCGATTCGGCTACTGGCTTCCGCACGGATAATACATTCATTTAAATTCACAATAATCACCACGAACCAATGACCTCAATTTTCGCTGCACATGCTAGATTCGAGTATGCAAAAGGGCAAATCCTTTCAGTTGCTTAGTTACGCTAAATGCCAGTGATTTGAAATTAAACACGCTACTGGTTAAGTGTATACGAATGTTCGTGTACTAGTACGAGGCTAAGTGCACGAGTGCCCTCGAAAATGAAATATCGTATATTGAAAAAAAAAAACTTGTGGCTGATAAATATCGTAACGAGTTGGACTACATTAATGCCATACATATCATAAGAATGTGTTGAGATGTCACGATAACAGTAAATATGTCAACTAATTCCAAGGCCGGTTTACCGTTATAGCTAAACACTGATGCGATGGTACATGTAGTTAAGTATACACAAAGCCGCACTGATCGCCCCATTTGTGAAACGTCCATTCAAATATTACTTTACGAAACCAATGACGTAAATTCAATCGTGTTAAAAAATTCGAATCACGTTACTAGGCTGATGAAAACATCAATAAACTATGTAATATAATTATTAAATTCGTCCTAATGTTTTTTTTTTTAAGTTTGCGAGACGTAAACCTACACATTCGCCAAATATGGCTTAATGCACGATCAATCAATCATTAGAACTGTTTATTGACGATGCATTGTAAACAAATTAAGTGACATCACGGCTTATATGACCGCTGTCCACCACCTACTGACTTTGTATTTGGCCCACAGTAATTCGTTTCATTTACATATCTGTTTACTTGTTCAGTAGTGCATTCTCAACATGGGAATGTTGTAAAGCCTCTCCTTCTGTGAGGGGAGGGTAAAGTCGCATGAGGGTAGGGAGGGGTATATTCATATTCATAAACTCATTATGGAAAAAAACACATGGTGCAACCAGTTCCAATATGCACCACTGTCGCTTCCACGTGTCAGGACACCTCAACTTGAAATAACCGAATAACATACGGATTACTGTTCGTGAACACGACATCGCTAAGGTATATTGATACCGCTATTCCCATAATATGTATAATTATATAATGGGTTAATATTCAAACATGACCAATTTGACGATAATTCATATTCATGGTCAGAATTGACAGCTGCGGCTGCAGTTCTCTGTAAAATTAACTCCTTGGCAATTTCGATATTGATTGTGGTTATTTTTAGACATTTCAATTGTGCTTAAAACACATACTGATATTGAAGTAATCAGAAATAGGAATAACGCGGCGTGTTCAAATATAACGTCCATGGCCATTGGATGATTAAAACACCGGTTGTATGTTTCAACTGCACTGTAGGCAAACAAAAGGTCACCTAGTGAGATAGTAATATTCGCCCGAGTAAACAGCGCGCAACGCGTTTTCTCACTCGAATATACAATCTTCCCAGAAATGAAGTAAAATTGATTGGGAAATATTTCACTGAGCTGTATCCCAGGCATATTAGCATTCTGAGTTGACACGGGTTTGACAGGATGAATCTGAAACAATGCCTTATATATATATATTTGTGCCATCTCCACAGCTCAGTACTACGCGCTGTCGTAAATTGCAGTAGTCTAAACAATTGCGGTTTTCTAAGGGCGAGTGATATTGAGTTACATCATCAAAGCGGTCCACAGCACTAACATACACTCCAAATAACTACTTATACACTGTATTGGAATTGAAATTAAACATTTACCTGCCAAGTATGTATATTTTAGTCACAGTCAGCTGGCGCACATCTGATATAATACAATAAATGCGATATTTACTATATG